TGTGTGTGTGTCTGTGTGTTCCAGCATAACTCTGGAATGCCTCGAGCAATTTCAACCAAACTTGGTACACAGATAACTTACTCTTTGGAAACAAATATTGTGTGAGTAAGACATCCTTAAAACCTCTTGGGGTGTGTGTTCTGTTAAGATACAGCCTATTGTGTCTTAAAATGGTTTATGGCTTCTACTATGCCATGATAACATACTGTGGAGTCCTTGTGGAGGTCACAGTACTTCACAAGGTTTCTCCCTCTGGTAAGGGGGAAAATCCAACATTAGAAATTACATTTGGTCCGGACATTTCCCCCTATAAATAAATACCTGGGCAACACTGGGTTATTAGCATAAAATTTAGGAGTTAAGGCTATGTTTTGAGCTTACATGCACTAGATTTGGCATATCTCAATTCTATCCAAAAATCATATTTAGGACTGCAAGAAAGAAAGTAGGTACAGTATGTCAGATAAGGGAGGATATGTTGTTTTTTCAAGGTCAGCTATTTTAAATCCTATGCATAGGAGAATAGTTAGGCTAGGCAATATCTGACTTTATTTATTATTTTATACAGTATATTTGAATATTACTTCTCATATACTAGATACCTAAGCAGTATATAATAATGATGGCTAGGCTAGGTTGGCTATAAATGTGGAGGAATGGATAAATAAAAATAGTTTGTCTTTCTGTCCCCATATCTAAGCTGTTTTAATATATGGGACTATAAGAAACACTCAGGCTATTTCTAAGCATTCATGGATATCCCAATAATTTCCCCACAATCTTTCTGATATTAAAAGTAATACACCTGCATGCCTATTAGTAGGACAAAAATGGGATAGTAATTCTCTGGGGGGAGGGAAGGGGCAAACCGTATTTCAGATGTCTACCTTCTAAGCCATTTATTGCTTTAAACAGCCAGCATTTCGACTTACACTCAGAGATACATTGAGAGCTAGTGTAGCTTTTATAGTAACAACATTATGTGGGACACCATGATTGTCCAGTAAGTACATGGGCAGCTCCATTCTATACCAGCTGAAATATCCAGGTGGTTTTCAGGGACAGTCCCATTTAGAAGAAATTGTAATAATCCAATAGCAAAGTAACAGGGTGTAGGTGATCATCTTCAGTTGCGCCATGTTCTAAGTGATATGGAAAAGAGCAAATAGACAAAGTCCTCTTGACTGAGGCCTCTGCCCATCTGCTGTTCCCAGCAGGAGGACTCCCAGTTGCAACCTGCTTGTTCAGAGATATGATGGGAAGGAACCTGCAGACAAGATTTCTCATTGGTTTTCCTCTTGTTTGCAACAGCCCACCCATTAAGAGAAGAATCCCCCCCAACTCTTACAACCTTCTGGAGAATGGTTAACACCTGGGTGTTGTGGTAGGACCTTAGAGATTAGTAGCCAAAGTAAAATCTGTGTCATTAATGATATTATTTTGTGATTTATACAGTATTTTATCAAATTATTATTTGAATTATATTGCGATTTTATTTGTACACCACCCAGAGCTGTGTAATGAGACTGTTTATAAATCAATTATCTTCCCCTCAATGACAAACCTAACAAGCTTTAAAAAATATCTCTACCTTCCACTCTTTCTTTTTAGCAGCTTCTCAAACTATGTATTAGAGGCAGAGCCATATTTTTTAAAAAGATACATTAGAGAGAATTGGATATAGATGTGATCCAAGGTGGAGTACAGTCTTAATACAAAACCAAGCCTTGGGGTTCACCTTAAGATAAAGGGAGAGAACTGAAGGACATATGGGAGATAATGAGAAGCACCTGTGCCTGAGTTTGTATATTAGAAGGTGAATGAATGAATGAATGAATGAATGAATGAATGAATGAATGAANGCACCCACGATCGCTCGCGCGGCCGCATTCTGGACCAGCTGAAGTCTCCGAATACTTCAATGATTCCAACTACAGCAGGTTTTTCCCAGTCTTGGCAATTTCAAACTTGGCTGGGGAATATTGAGAATTGACATTCACACATCTTAAGAGTGTCAAGTGTGAAAAACATTGAGTTTAATCAATGGTTTTTTCCCAAAAAATCTTGGAAATCCAGAAAATTGCAAATTATAATTGTTTTCCTCTTACTTTTCACTAAGTTTTGTAGTGAATTCAGAAGTTCAAAAATGTTATTTAATGGTATGTAATCTTAACAATTTATTTGTAAATATGTTTTGTGTTGAAATGTTTAAACTTAATAGACAATTGCACTGGTTTGTTTAGAGGAATCTATTAAATCAGAGGTGGTATTCAGCAGGTTCTGACCTATTCTGGAGAACCGGTAGTGGAAATTTTGAATAGTTTGGAGAAGCGGAAAATACCACCTCTTACTGGCCCCACCCCCATATATTCTCTGCCTCCTGAGTCTCATCTGATCGGCAGGAAATGGGAATTTTGCAGTAACCTTCCATTGGAGTGGGGAGGGAATGGAGATTTTACAGTATCCTTTCCCTGCCACGCCCACCAAGCAACATTCATCAAGCCATTCCACACCCAACAAGCAATGCCCACAGAACTGGTAGTAAATTTTTTTGAATCCCACCACTGTATGAAATGTCTTCTGAAAATGCTCTATTTTTTTAATTAACAGCTTCCTCCTTGCTTTCATTTTTTATTTCACTTTTGCTTCCCTGTGTTTGTCCTTTAAATTTGTAGTTGTACAGTCCACACACATGTTTCTGGGATATGCTGTATTAAGCTAAGTGAAGATGCATACAGTAAATATGCATACGATTGCTTTTGTTAACTGGTCCCTGTCCCTTATAGGGTCAACTACATTCCTGAATCAGCCATTAAAACACAGAGCTTGTGGGTGAAACTTTATTTTCTTCCTTGCCAACAGACCAGTTCATCTTATCACTTTCTTCTGTTAGTTTTTTGCGATGTCAACTTTGGGAAGAACCTCAAATGAAGCTAATGAGCATAACAATATTCATTATCATCATTGCAAGGAAACAAACCAGTACAAAACTATTGATTAAGGGGACTAAAATAAGAAATATTAGATTACATTCAGTAATTAAAAAATAAATATAGGGCCTTATAAAAGAAGACTTGAATAATAATTATTTCATTTATTTGCACAACAATTTAACTAACTCCATGGGAAACTGTCCAGGAAATGGAGCATCCTGACAGTGGAGGCCTACCAGTTGACCTCAGTCTAACCTGGTGGGTCTCCTGCCAACAATATGGCTTCTTGCCTTGATCAATGCTTCTTTCTTATCACTTCTATCCATCATTCCTGTTCTCCAAGGTGGGCACTGCTTCTGACATACCCTAGACTAGAGTCATGGGAACAGCAAAAAGTCAATATCTTCTGAGGGGTTGGGACTGCCTGAAGAAGAGAAGGAGGATGGGACTCAGGATAAGGACTGGGTCACCTCATCAGAAGGACCTCTCTGCTGGCCAAGGAATGGGAAAGAGAGTAAACAGAAGATGCATACACACAAACATATATGCATATAGACATGCACACATGGACCTCATAATTGCTTGTGTAAATATCATGATGGCAAGAAACAGGCTTAGATATCACCTAGAATTTCCACAAGATATCAGAGATAAGTCCTTTGCATGCATCACAAAAATATCAAGAGCTCTCCGACTTTCTCATACTTACTGTTCTTCTTCCAGGCTATTGATGGTGACTACGAAATTGCTAGGAATGTAGCCCTGCTTTCCAGTAGTAAGGGATTTTGCTAACCACCACTCCCCTTCACTGTGAACAAAATACATGAATGAATGAATGAATGAATGAATGAATGAATTAGACTGAATAAAGAATTAAGCTCCTTTTAATCCACTTTAAACAGGATACATTACATATGGGACAGAGGCCTTATTATAGGACAGAGGCCTGCAAGTGGCATTATGATTATTATGGCTGACTAGCACTGGGAGGAATGGACAGTTTCCTGAAATCTCTTCTGAACATTTCCTGAGCGGCAATAGAAATAGCACTTAGACTTATATACTGCTTCACAGTGCTTTACAACCGTCTTTAAGTGGTTTACGGAGTCAGTATATTGTCCCCAACAATCTGGGCTCTCATTTTATTGACCTCAGAAGGATGGAAGGCTGAGTGAACCTTGAGCCAGTGAGAATCGAACTGCTGGCAGTCAGCAGAATTAACCTACAATACTGCTTTTTAACCACTGCACCACTATGGCTCTGGCCTCAAAAAATTAGTAAAAGACTCGTAAATGTTCCTCTCCAAGGAAATCTTTAGTGAAAGGTGAAAGATTTATACAATCTGATGAGAAACCACAGTATGTTCCAGGTCAAATGCAGATGAACAAAGAAGTATTTGAGAAATATTTTTCTGCAACGGAGGACAAAAGAAATATTGGGGCATGATGAAATCAGTCAAAAGCTGAAAAGTGTACCCACCTGCATAAGACTTCAAATTTCTCTCCTACAGTCAAAGGCAGATCTCGATCACTCATAGACACAAAAGCATATTGTGCTATTACATATTTCTTGCCTATAGCATGCGACAAACAGAAACATTGATTCAGTCTAGAGTAAAATATAAATAATAACTGGGTGAATGGCTCAAAACTTAAATTAAATCAAGAAGGTTTTCAGATCGTATTCCTTATTAGACAAAGTCAGTGTGGGGCCTGAATGACCCAGGGATATAGTCTTTTAATAATAGTTGTCACTTAGCTGTAGCATTCCTGAAACCAGTCCTTATATAGCTAGTTTCAAGGAAATCCATTAGTGGTTTAATTCCTGTTTGCTTCCAGAGCAATTTACTATCATATTTTTAAGAAGCAATCAAAATTATTTACAACAATAATAATAATAAAATGAGTAATTACCCTACAATGTTTCTTTGCTGGGACCAGCAATAGCTAAGAAATATTAATTCTGGACAAGCTAATAAGATATTACCAGTCAGCAATCTTATAAGGAGGCATACTTGAGATCTTTTTAACAAACTGCTAGCTTATAGAAAGTCCATACAGAGAGTGGTAAGGACAACTGAGAAGATGATAGGAAGCTCACTTCCTGTTATTTAGGATACTGCTTATAAGCACTATGTGCTTAGAGCTCAAAGCATTGTTAGAGACCCCCCACACACACACTTCACACTCTGTTTCTGTTGCTCCCCTCTGGGAGAAGATTTCAAACTATTTCTAGCAGGACTACCAGATTCTGTAACAGCTTTGTTCCCTATGCCATCTGTCTGGTAAACTTACAAGCTTCATTTTTCTTGCCATGTGTGTCTCGCCATGTACATTTATACATCTGAACTAAACTGTTGTTTGTCCGTGTCATATAATATATGTAAGCAGGGGTGGGTTTCAAAACTTTTTACTACCTATTTGGTGGGTGTGGCCCATTTTGTGGGTGTGGCTCAGTGGTCATATGACTGGGTGGGTATGGCCAATTCGACTTCACTCACTAGGTGTTGTCATGGATTGGGTAAAATATGGTGAAGCTCACTTAATAATGCTCTTGCTTAGAAACCAAAATTTTGGGTGCAATTGTAGTCATAAGTCAAGGACTATCTCTGCCTTTCTCTCCATGGCAGTCTTGTCCTAGTAAACTCCTTTTCCTTTCTGGCAATTTTCCTCTCTGTTAGAGGCATCAAAATAATCCACACTATGTAAGGTTTCCTGCTGCAGCAGGGGGTTGGACTAGATGACCTCTAAGTAGACTTCTAGCCCTAAATTGCTGTGCTGTTTTCCTTCCTTCCTTCCTTCCTTCCTTCCTTCCTTCCTTCCTTCCTTCCTTCCTTCCTTCTTTTCTATTTCTTTCTTTCTCCCTTCCCTCTGTGGGAAGCAACCCCACCCCCCAATAATTGCTGAACGTCACTTTGCAAACCTGAGCAGCTTTTCAATTTAAAGCAGGACTCCAAAGTTTGCAGTTTTAAGACTTGTGGACTTCAACTTTTAAAAAAAGCTTCTGATGAATCTTCTGAGAGGAGAGCAGGTTCAGGGGCGTGGTCAAGCCATCATTTTTACTACAGTTCCTATCCGGTACGCCAGATTTTCACTACTTCTTCTGGTGTACCAGACCATAAAGGGAGGAACTCCTCTGTATGTAGGTGTATGCATATTCCAATGTGATCCTAGAGATCACAGAGCATGTGTGTGTGTATATCTGTGGAGATTCTCAATCACCCAGGACATAGTTGTCTCAAAAGTTCTTTTTTTCTCAAAAGGCATCTGGATTTTCTTGGTTTTTTTTTTTTCTTATGAAAATGTTTCACTTCTCAATCAAGAACATCAGAACTGAAGAAGCTTCTTAGATAAGAAGTGAAATGTTTTCAAAGGAAAAAACAAGAAAGTCCTGTTACCTTTTTAGGGGGAAAAACATATTTGGCATGTATGTACAGTATCTTCTCTGAAGATTTTGCACCACACTACAAATTATCACAGAGAAAGTGATTAGTTATATGTCTACTGGCCCCAGACTGTAGTCTGAAAAGAACAATTTGATGTGTTCAGCCCAGTTCCCCCTTCTCTCTGATTATTTTTCCTTCCTTCCTTCCTCTAATCATTTCTGAGAATATTCTATGTTAAGATTCTGCATCTTTTTCAATAATTATGATGAGAAGTTGAATGGTAGTAATCATAATCACTATCATAACATCATTGTATAAAAAACTGTCAAAGACAGAATGGATATTTAAGAATATTATCTAAATTTAGGAACAAGAAGAGCACAGAGGAAGGGGAGGAAATGGAGGCAAGGAGGGGAAGCCTTAGTCAGTCCTTTCAGAATATTTGGGTTTAGTTAGATCAGGACAGGAATGGGTATCCTATGACCTTCCAAATATTTCTCAACAGAAACTTCAACTTTTGCCATAATTGACTTTATTTGCTGGGACTGCTGGGTGTTGGAGGCCTACTGGCTACCAACCTCTGTAGTAAAATACAAAAACACTGAGAAACAATTAAGATGTGTGAGAGATTCCAATCGTATGGGGCAGCTACAAAGAAAGGCCTGAAGGATTCTGGGCAAATGATCATAACCTGAGATACAGTATACCAAGTTATAAAAGGTACAATGTAATCAGTGTAATGCTTGCTAAAATAGTTTCTCCCTATGCTTTTGCCTTCTCTGTGTTGGGGATTATTAAGATCATCTCCTTTATGTTCCACTTTCTATTGTCGTATTCTTTGTCTTTATATTTATTAAGAATTTTACATAAAGTAAGAGACAAATTATAAAGAAGGAAGAAAGAAAGAAGGAAAGAAAGAAACAGAAACTAAATGTATGAAATATAATGAATTTTGATGTTCTCTTCTCTTCAACAAATAACTGCAGTCTTCTAATCCCTCCTCCTCTTGAATGAATGAGTTATATTCTTATATTCATGTCATATTCTGACATGAGTTGAGAAACTGACAGCCACATCACCATAAGCATAACCTCTGTCTTTTTAGTTGTATCTGTTCAATACAAATTTGATCCCATTAAACTTGATTTCCCTCCCATCCCTGCTCTGTAATAAAAGAGAAAAAAAGTTTTTAATAATTTGAGTGCTTGCTGGTTAATTAATGGATGGTGAACAAGATATTTTTTTCTAAATATAGGCACTCATGAGACAGATACTAAATCTCACTGTCTGACCTTTTCAAATAAAAAAAACCATTTGCAAGCTTCTCCTTTTCAATGCAAGGTCACATGTCTGGAACAATATATAGCTCTGTGAGAACAGCACTGGCTATTTCTTATTTTGGATTTAGGGACGAACTCAAGTCATTTTACAAGCCAAAATATTGAGTAGGAGAAGGAGGAAACTTTGATGTTAGGCTCACCAGCATTTAGCAAACAAAAGTAGAAGTATTCACATATTTCCCTATGAGAAGTTCATGATTACACTCTTTCTCACCTTAATCTACAGTACGTGTTGCTAATATGTTTTTAACTTGTTGTCTGTTGGTTGTATATTCAGTTTCTCTAGAAAACCATTTATTAAACTTTTGCATCTTTCAAAAGCATATTTCTTAAGAAGCCAAATTCTGGAATTTTTTTCATCTTGGAGCAAATGTCCATAACTCAAATGCATCATTCTTAACTTTGTTTCTAATTCTGATTTATCTTTTTCATTTATTTATTTTTTTATATTTTATTGTAAACCACCCAGAGTCATTTAATTGAGATAGGCAATGTAGAAGGGTATTGATATATTAAAAATAAAACTGTTCTTATTTCTCTCTTTTATTGAAATGATGCGTTATTTTATTCATGCAATTGTTGCTGACATCATTAAGCATCATCTGGTAAGACTCCCCAATAAATATTCAGAAACAAAGACATAAATCCTTTTTACCGTTACCAAGTTGGTCAGCAGAAGTGATGGATAAATTCTTGCCCTTTGAAAGTAATTAAAAGGAGAAGCCAAGCATTACTTAATTGCATTGAAATTGGATGTCAAGGATACATTTGTATATAATTCTATTACCAAATGTTGTCCTGGGAGCAAAATTCAGGCTGCTGAGAATTTGCTCATTTCAGTTAATAGGAGAAGCCATCTGTTTATCTGGAGAGATCAAACTGGACCCCTTTGGAGTTGGCTGAATTACAGTTTCCAGCATCCCACATTTCTGACCAGGTTAGGAGGAGCTGATGGAAGTTGATGTTTAACAACTACTAGAAGACTACAATTTATTCCCTCTTGAAATATTACATGTATACTGAAATTTAGCCAGGAACAGCAAACAACCATATCGAGACAGAAACTTTTACGTTACTTACCAGTAATGAAGGATGGGAAGATCCAAGTAGACCTCAACTTACAACCAAAATTGGGGCTCAAATTTCTAAGCAAGACATTTGTTAAGTAAATTTTGCCCCAGTTTGTGACCTTTCTTGCCACACTTGTTAAATGAATCACGGCAGTTGCTGAATTAGCAACATGGCTCTTAAGTGAATCTGGCTTCCCCATTGACTTTGCTGGTCAGAAAGGTGATCACATGATCCCAGGATACTGTAACTGTCATAAATAGGAGTCAGCTTCCAAGCATCTGGATTTTGATCAAGTGATCATAGGGATGCTGCAACAGTTACAAATGTAACACATAGTCCTAAGTCATATTTTTAACATTTAACATATTGTTGTAACTTATGTTTCTTGACGAATGTATCTTTTCATATCTTTTTATGTCTATGTACACTGAGAGCATATGCACCAAAGACAAGTTCCTTGTGTGTTCAATCACACTTGGCCAATAATGAATTCTATTCTGTTCTGTTCTGTCCTGTCCTGTCCTGTTGTAACTTAGAATGGCTACTAAATAAAGTGTTATAAGTTGAGGACTACCAGTATTATTAAAATTAATGCATTAGCCTTAGCCATCTAGTCAGTGGTGAGAGAAGACAGGTATATCTAGACATATTATCTCTGCATTTCAGATCTTCTTGGCTACTATTTCTTTTAATTCCAGGGTGGTTCAGAAATAACAGACATTTTAATCAACTTTGTGGACACACATTTTTACCATCATAGTGTGACACTGATATCCTGATTTTTGCATACTGTGTTGAAACTGTGAGTCCAGTTACTGTATTTTGGATACCAACTAAAGCTGAAGGAACAGTAATAAAAAAATTGATAAAATTAAAAATTTGGCTGCTGCTGATTACTATTGGACAGAGGCTAATTTCTTTCCTGCCTCTAGGGCATCCTGGAGCCACCTGCTTGATTAATACGATCGAGCTGCTGGATTAGATGGAACTTTGAGCCAGCCCAGCAGGTACTATGCCTGAAATGAAGGTTAAATGTTAGCTGAATAATTGAGAAGTATAATGAGAAATCTTTCTACAGGAAACGAGGTGAAATGGACGGAGCTGATGGGTGGAGATTAAGGTTGATAGCCAGACGGAGAATTCTTTTATTTTTTGAAACTGGACTCAGCCTCTCAAACATATGCATCTGATTGCTAGAATACCTTGCCTGGGTGCAGAATTTTAGTTCGTAAATTACTCTTTCTTGACGATTAAAACTTACCGGTGGTGCAGGTGGTGGAACTTTCCTTTTCATGGATTTCTGAGGTTTCTGTCTATATAGAGAATTATTCCTTTCTTTCCTGCTTTTCCTGCTTTCACATAGTCCCATCCTGTCTCTGAAATAAATGCAAGTAGGACTGGCTTTAAACATGTGATTTCATGTCAACTCAAATGGGATCATTTCATGGATGCCTTTGGTTATGCTTATAGTGTGAGTATTCTTCAGGACTGGAATGTCCCCCAATATTTTAAACATGGGTTAGATGATAAGACACTATTAATTTAGTAATACTATTTTAGTCCTGCATAAAAGCGGCACAAAATAATCCCTGTTGAGTTTGCAGCTCTTTAGTTAAGTTTGAGGAATGATTGGAAGATGTTCATGTATCAGTTTTCTTTGGACAGTCTAGTTAAAGGTTATGAACCTAGGTGAGCTGTGGTATAATGACAGCAACAATATGACAACGGCCATTCATAACCTGCTTTTTAATAAAAATATTGCCAGACTAATTCATATCACAAATTTGATGAAATAAAAAGGATAATTATTTTAAAGGTGCTGTGTTTGTCAGCTGAAGAGCTGGCAGCCTGCGTTGGAGAACTAGAACTTCATGCAAAGGAATGAGCTCCCATTACTTGCCCTAGCTCCTGCCCACCTAGCAGTTCAAAAACATGAAAATGCAAGTAGATGAATAGGTACCACTTCGGTGGGAAGGTAATGGCATTCCATGAATCTTTGGCATATGGCCATGCTGGCCACATGACCACGGAAATTGTCTTCAGACAATGCTGGCTTCCTCAGTCAAGAAATAGAGATGAGCAACATGCCCTAGAACTGGACACAACTGACAGGGAAATCTTTACCTTCTTTTAAAACTTTGTTTTAGTTACTGAACACATGCACATTTGTTTGTATTCAAATGTGTTCTTTTTCAGCTGACGGAGAAGATTCTAAAATGAGAGTGCTTTAGATTTAAACACAGTGAATGTTCTGATCTTGCTCTTTCTCCCCCTTTTCTTATACTGCTAATTATGAAATGTAGAGAAATGGGATCGAGCTCATTAGATATTACCTACTAACATCCAGATACTGTTCAAGTTCATTATACAAATTTTAAATGATTAATTCAATTTAATAACATAAATTATTAATTTAATGATTTATATGAATAAAACTAACTAAAACAATTCACTACATTTATATTGTGTTTAATAACTAAGCATGGAACAGAAATACAGAAATACCAATTAATTTGGACTGATACAAAGAGAAATAATTTTAAAGGAAAAAAATTTGATGGAAAGGACAATTTACACCGTATCTTTTGCCCCAGGAAATGAGATTCTCCCATGAATGAATCTCATGAGAGAATATTCTTAGATCTGAAATATTAAGAGATTTTAAGATTATTATTTCTTAATTTTCATCACTTGATCTTTATCATGAATATAAACATTGAATTCTTTTCTATTTTGAGACAAATGGCTTTATGTTTCTTCCATGCTAGTTTATATGGTAATAGTTACAAACTTCCATTTCTTTCACATTTTTATCATTTTATAAATAATTGAAAATATTACCAACACTTTATAATCTTTTAATGTTTTGATAAAGCAAAACAAAAAATTACAAAAAAGATCAATATTATTTCCACATTACTTTGTTTTTTCTGGGCCTGCAAAACTATATCCTTTATGATATCTCTATGGTCTCATTTTAACCACCATAAATTATCTGAGTAATATTGATCAACAGAGTCCTTTCACTGCTTATAACCTTAAACAAAAATCAATTAGAAGTTTATATTATTTTATGTATATTTCTCCTAGTCCACTAAATTGGATATGCAATTTTGAACAGTGTGCACATTTCTGCCATAATTTCTTCTCAGATAAATGCACTGTTTTGTGCTACTTTCCTAGTAATCCATAATATTGTGTATACATTTTGTCTAAGAACCATTATTTGGAACCATCTCAGAGCAGAAGACCAATTTTCAAAAAAAGATGCCAAGATTTGATTCATAAACTGATTTGAGTCTGTGAAAGTAGTTTTTGTGGAAATATGAATTTAGCAAATTTGTTTTTTTCCTAACAAGCAGCATTACCTCAGGACTGAGTCCAAGAGCATTCAGTATGATTTCTCCCCTTACATGGTCTAGCATTACCCATCACAGCCATTGCTGACTATCAACAGCTGTTGATATTCTGCTCAATTGTTTATGTCCACTTTGGATCAACCCATCCCTATTTAGAAAATTTATAAAGGAAAATGGATGCATCTATTATTTCTCCTTCAAGCAAAGACAAAAAAGCATCTTGTGCAAACTCAACAAATCTAAAAGATCAACAATGTGTCTCACAAATGTAATCAAGCCCAATCAATTCATAGGGACTTAATTATGGATAAATACTTAGCTTTGACCACCACTTTGGCATTGATATTTATATTAGCAATTTTCAAGGATCTGGAAAAAGGGGAATGATGTGGTCTAACACTCAGGTGAATTGAGAAGGGTGAATGTCTCAACATTTCTCTAGTCATCCAAGAATCAAAAGTAACCAGCCACAACTACGCCTACAAAATTGGATTAAATTCTGCTCTTAATTCTGTAGCCCTTCTCTCCCTGTGTTTTTAAGACATCCAAGGAACAAAAGAGTATCATTTCTTCAGCATTCAGTGCAAAACTTCTGCAACTTCAGTAAAAAAAAATTGACAAGCAAATTAATGAAGTTTTCAATACAAGAACAATAAAAATGGTAAATGTTATTCAGTATATCGTCTGTCATATCATATCATCATGGCAAGCATCCCATAAAGTTTAATATTGACAAATTTAACCCCAGGACATTAAAATATCACAAATCACCCACAAATAAAATTCAAATAAGTATATTTTAAACTTCAACGTTTAAATCACCAATGAAAATTTAAATATGTCATTGATTTCATTTTTGTTAGGCAATTTTAAGTTCTTCAGAACCATCCCCCATGGTAATGAATCATCTTTTCATTTCTTTTTCCCCCCTGTAAATAATGCAATATTGCATTCAATAAAGATCAAGCAAAATATCCAAAATTTGATGAATTTTTGGATTCAGACCAAAATGCCAGAGAAATTTTACACTTAAAGAAAAACTTGCGAGGGTGCACCTTTGTATATAAAATGCATTAAGCAGTTGCTGGCAATCATATTTGTGTGACCATTTTAAAATTTATTTATTTACTTATTTATTTATTAAAATTATATGCCACCTTTCTCACTCTGCAAAGCAGCAAATTGAAAATAAGTAACTGGGGTTTGTGATAATCCCCAAATTTGCCTGTGACTGCCAACAATTTTGAGGAATAATCATTCATCTGTTATTACATGGAGACTGTATATTATTCAATATTATCTATATATTTATCCTGAATATCTTCATAACATTAGCAGTCTCTAATATACTTAGGACAACCTTTCACATGACTGCATACTTACAAAATACCAAAAGAAAGCGAAAATGGATGAAAATTGAGAATGCTGAATCATGTTGAACAAGAGGAGCATTGGACACATGTGGTTGCTCAAAATTATATTTTCTCATTATGGTTAACACCTATTAAAACTATTCCCACTTTACAGGTGGAAAATTAAATTTAAGCGAACGGCTTACGCTTAGCCCCTGGGCTGGTCTCTGAACACTAAATCAAGAGCTGAAATGACTCTTCTGTCCAATGTTCAGTCCTATGGATCACATTCAATGCCCTCAAATACAGTCCCAATTGGTTAATATTTAATTCAGTTTCTCACCTTAGAGTTCCTTGTGTGTGGCTCAAAACATTTCTCATGAAATTCCAGAAATCCTCCAAAAACAAAAAACAAACCAGGTATTTTTTTAATGGTCTGCTTGATAAGAATGCATGCAACTAGAGAAATGCTCTAATAAAGTAACTCCGCTTTGTCAGTTGACTTCTGTTAGTGGTTTCCTGCCAACAACATCAGAATAACAAAGTGGGACAGGGTTGCTGCTGTCTAAAGCCTTAAGACCAGCAAACCAACCAAATAGCATATTTTGAGCTAATCTTAGACTTGTGGCTACTTCAATGGAAAATAAAACGTCCCCAGGAAGAAACCCGAGAGGACTAGAATGAGTTGGTTTTTTTTTTGTTTACAGGCCAATTCTATTTTTTAAAATTGTTTATTTACCTTTTTCGTCAGTTCCCCTAACAGCTATTATTTTTTTCTTCACGGATAGCATGCAAGAAATCATTTTTGTTTGAGTTCCTGCATTGATGAAAGAAATTACATTGTGGTAAAATATAATAAATAGACAAACAAAAGAAGTTTCACCCATAAGGTGAAGTATACTTAGGTCTCAAAAAATGAAAGAAGTAAATTCCATTTTGTAATAAAATGTCTAACGAAGTCTTAACAGTTGGATATTCCAACTGAAGTATCATGCCCCAATGTTTTTATGTGAACCTTGCCCCATTGGTCTCATCCTGATATGCTAGACTACAACTCTTTTTTTTTATTGGACACTCCCAGGAAATGTTAGGGGATGTAGTCAAAGACATTTGAAGTTTACCACAATTAGGGAAGTAGGGCGGACTTATAGAATGGGAATGGATATAGACTGAATAACAAGGGAGTCATGTGCTCTAAATAAATCCATCTGTCAACAGCATGACAATAGCTTTTTGAAGCAGCAGCTGTTCCTTGCAAATAGTTTTCAAAAGCAGCTCCGTATAAAAGGAATCAGACTAGGCGTGCCTGCAGAAGGAAGGGAATACAATTGGAAAAATGCTCATACTACTTCTCCATTTCAAAGAACATTTTATTTTATTGTCTTCTAGGGCACCACTTCCTTTTGTCCTCATTCTTGGTTCTGCTGTCCTATCCATGTATCCCTGGAGGACTGATGACGACATGGAACATCAATGGAGAAGAGTTCAGGTAACCTGAGAAAGTGCTGGAGAGAAGGATGCTGTGTGAGAAAAGGGAGCACACAGGAAGGACTGTGAGGAAAGGCTGCAGGAAAGAAGCATGGATGAAAGAAGGGATGCACAGAAAAGAATTGAAGGAGGAAAAAGGATAATTGTAACAGCCCAACAACTCATGATCCCCAGCTGTGGAAACCCAGCAATGTCAGAAGTCAGAAAAGTCCAGAAACACTGGCAATGAAGAGACACCAACCAGCACACTCTAACCTTTGGAACCAGGGAGGAAAGCAATTCTTTCCTTCTCTGCCTTCATCCCAGGTGCTTCCAAACCAACCTTCCTTTCTTCCTTCCTGTTGGGCTGCTCTGAGCCTTTCTGTTTCTACAGAGCTCCTTTCTGTCACTGTCACGGCTGGCTTGAGAATGATGCTGCAGAAACTGTAAGGCTTGGTTGGTACTGTTGGCTACTGCTGAATTGAGATGATTGTATTGCTCTGGTCTCTTTGGCCAGGTTGGGGTTGGGTGGGCAGATTGGGTGGGTGGGGATTGGCACTGTTGAACTGGTTCTGTCCTTTTTTTTTCTGTTGGGTCTATCAGGCTGTCCCTGGTCAGGTTGGCTACATTGTTCGTGGCTGCTATTGGTCAGTGGAATGAGATGCTGATCATTGTTCTTTTCTTCCCCTTCCTCATCTAAGACCCAAGAGTTAAATTAATTACCCATTCAAGTATTTTTTAAACCACTATGTTAACAGAAAACAGGATGGCATACAAAGGGAGAAACATCGTAAGGTATGTTACAAGTGCAAGGCATAAAAACATAAACAATATCTCAGTGTAGTAAAAACATAAACAACATCTTAGTGTAGTAAAAACAGTAGATCACACTACAGCAATGTTTCTCAATCTTGGCAGCATGAAATGTGTGCGCTTCAGCTCTCAGAATTCTCCAGCCAATATATCCCAGAGTTTCCTAACCAGTATGCTGGGATTCACATAGTAAGAAGCCCCCGACTTAATGTCATACTTTCTTAGCAAACCAATAAAGAAAGGAGAAATTTAGTAATCCATGAAAGACTTATCTGGAATATGGGTTTGTACCTTCTTAATCAAAGCAATACAGACCGAAGTCTTAACTCAACCTTCCTAAGCCATGTTGATTTTTCTTACTCACTTCTTTTCCATGACAGGGGGTGGGTGGGTGTTTATTTCTTTGGATTATATCCTGCCTTTCTTTTCCTATTGAAAAATCTGAATCATAACAAAAGCAAACAAAAAGCCCACAAAAGTTGTTAACAAGAACAACAGTCTATATCAGTGGTGGGATATGACTGGTACGTCCTGGTATGGGCGTAGAGGTGCCTGCTGGGAGCACCAGATACCGTTCCGGTATGGCGCTTCAGAGGACCCACGCGCCCTCCTTACCTGTATTTGACCCGATCGGGGCTTTCGCACATGCACACAGAGCATACAGTGCAACACTCTGCCAAACAGCTGGAGTGTCACGGTCATGCTGTGTGTATGCTGCATGTGTGCACATGGTGGACGCCAGGCCCTGTAGCGTACCAGTTGCAATGGGATCCGGAACCCACCACTGGTCTATATATAAAAATGGCTCTGTATGTGTATGTTCCAGCCTAACTCTGGAATGACTCAAGCAATTGGTACACAGATGACTTACTTGCTGGAAAAAAATACTGTAGAGGTAAGACACTCCTAACATCCCTTGGGGTGTGTGTTCTATTAAGATACAGCCTGTTGTGTCGTACTGTCATACTGGATTCTACTGTACATCACAGTGGAATTGCCATGGTAACAGCTTCACAGTACTCCACAAGAGGGCTCTCTCTGGTCCAACATTAGAAATTATGTTTGGTCTGGACCAGGGACGTGCAGTCAGGGGAGGCAGGGGAGGCAGGGCCTCACCACTGTCATGATGAAAAGAAAAAAAAATAAAAGGAAAAAGGCAGAGGTAGTTGCTGCCAGAGTCACAGTGGATGACTCTGCTTAGTGATTAACTGCAGGGGATGGCAAGAGAACCACATGCCTCCTTTAGACTATCGTTATGATCACTTGAACAGAGTTAAGCAAGGGTTAAAAGGCGAAAAATTCCTTATATAAAGGAGGCATGTGGTTCTCTCGCCTCCTGCTCTGGCAGCAGCAACTCTTGCCTTTTTCTTTTTACATTTTTTATATTTTCTTCATGGCGGACGAGAAGAGAGTTGAAATCCTCTGTGACACAGCTGGAAAAGGCATGTGGGTCGGACGGAGGGGGGAGGAATTCAAAATTATTGTAATTTAATTTGTAAGTAATTTTTTATTGTGAATAACTTGTGTGTGTGTGTGTGTGTGTGTGTGTGTGCGTGTGTTTCTTTCTTCACTTCACTCAAACAAACTCTCAATTTGAGAGAGAGTTTTTTGAGAAGAGAGGGAAGGGGCAGAGGCAGGGAGGGCAGCCTTGTTTGAGAAGAGAGGGACAACCCGCCAGCAGAAGCAGGTCTTTTACCCTCCTCTGCTGGCGGGCTGGCGCTTTCTTTCTTTTGCCTGCTGTGCCCCCCTTCCCTTTCTCCTCTCCCCCCCATCGGGAGCCCTGTCCTGCTCCCCTCTCCCTTTCCTCCTCCTCCTCTCCCCTTTCTTCTCCGGCTGCTGCCTCGCCCCCCGCCTCCTCCATCCCCGCCGCTTTGTCCGACAGGCATCTCGCATTTGTGTCCGCCATAAACGCGAGATGACTGTTGGACACAGCAGCAGGGATGGAAGAGGTGTGGGGGTGAGGTGGTGGAGCGCAGCAGTGGCGAGAAGCAACGTCCCCACCCTGTGTCCGACAGGCATCTCATGTTTATCCACCGTAACCACGAGATGCCTGTCGGACACAGTGGCAGAGACGGAGGAGGCGGGGGCGAGGCGGAGGAGCATGGCAGCGGCGGGGATGTTCTAGCCGCTGTATCTGACAGGCGTCTCACATTTATGTCTGCCATAAATGTGAGATGCATGTCAGACACAGCGGTGGGGACGGAGGAGGCAGGGGGGACAAGGTGGTGGATCGCGGCAGCGGCGAGAAGCAACATCCCTGCCGCTGTGTCCAACAGGCATCTTGCGTTTATGTCCACCATAAACACGAGACGCCTGTCGGACACAGCAGTGGGGACATTGCTTCTCGCCACTGCCGCGCTCTTGCCTCACCAACCATACTGGTCACTGGTCTGGAACAGAGGTGGGTTCCTACCATTTCGGATCGGTTCAGCCGAACAGGTAGTAACTTGGTGGCCTAGGTCGCTGGAACGGGCAGTGACCCAGGCCTGCCATACCCCCGAACCAGTTCTCTCGGTGGCAGCAAGAGCAAACTGGTAGCAGCAACAGCCAGAACCCACCCTTGGTGCAGACATTGTCCCCCTATAAATAAATAACTGGGCAATGCCGTGTTATCAGCTAGTGAGCCATAAAAGTGAAATCAGAGATCAGTGTCATGGTCTAAACTGTAATTCTCAATCTCAGCAGTTTTAGATGTGTGAATTCCCAGAATTATCCAGCCAGTATGATGGTTGGAAATTCTAAGAGCTGAAGTCCACATATCTTCAAGTTCCCAAAGTTAGAAAACATTGAGCTATAGTAACATTAGCACCAGCTGAGAATGTTCTTAAGTAGGGTGTCACCGTTCTCTTCCTTCTATATTTCTGGCAAAGGAACTCCCACTGATGATGAAGTCAATTCACTCAGAGCACCTACAGCTGGGTCTTATGTACGCTCCATCCTAATGCAGGACCTGGCTGGCTTCAGTACACAGCACTGGGTACTAGTGGGTTGCTAATTGTTCCTAGCTCACATACTTTTACATGCCAACTGAGTCTGTGAGGAGGCTATTCTGCTTTGTAGCACACAGCAGAAGGTTATTTTGAGAGTTTCATACATTCTGAGGGTATATTGTATCAGTAGAAGAACAGGCAGCTCCTGATAT